TTTTCTATTCTATATATCGACTGCTCATATCATGTAACAGATAGTCCTGGTTTAATTATGCTAATTGGTAAAATCTGTAAAGTGCTACAATCTTGTCAAAAAAAAACCTTATGACCACCGTGCTGCTTAGTGACAATACTTCTGGCAGTTCTGATTGTCATAGTTAAGCAAAGATTGCACAGGTAGTTAAGTGACAACCTCTAATGATCACAACTTCTAACTTCCTGGCAGCTTCCCCATTCATTTTACTTGTGAGAAGTCAACTTCGAATGTCGCAAATCTTAATTACACGACTGTGGGGACACTGCAACCACCGTTTATGAGGTTTGGTTGTAATTGCCATAATTCATCATTCAAATTTGACTAGTTGCTGAATCGGTAGTCATTAAACAAGGATCACTTGTATTGCTAAGCAAAGTTGGAATTGTTCAAGATCATTTGATTCTTTGTTTAAGTGGAGACAAAATACAATAGCTTCTACACTACATGTAGAAAGGTGCCATGCTAACAGGTAAAATATATTAAGAGAAGAGACAAAGTCAATGACTGGTCAAATGTTAAGAGAAGAATTCTCCATTTATCATTTGAGGAAAGCATCACTGAGAGCTTAGAATAGCATTGAATGAATTCTGGGAATTGAAGTCCACCCATCTTAAAGTTGTCAAGATTGAGAAACACTAGCTTAGGAGATATTTATCTATCACCCAAATACACATGTAATGAATTATTCCCCTCCTGGGGAAAGCGCAGCAACTATTATTCGTAACATCTTAGTCCTTCCCTTCCATTACAGCTGTTACTCTCAATTCTTCAATGAGACAGTACCGCTTGGCTGATCTTAAGGCAAATACCCATTATACAGTCCACATCTCTGGCATCACTAGAAAAGGAGAAGGAGCTCAAAGCCAGCCGCAAGATTTTACTACACTGAAATATGGTATTTTGATGTTTTATTATTATGCATTTACTTATTATTTTTCATGTGTTTTCTACTGTTCCACATTAGTGTTACCCGGCTGTGTATCTAGTCAAATTAAGAATTTCCACAGGATCATCCACATTGACCTAGCAGAGATGGCCAACCTTTTCTGTCCCAACAATGGGCATAGCACAGGGGTGGGCAAACTACGGCCCGCGGGCCACATCCGGCCCGTTGGTCTTTTTAATCCGGCCCACCGAAGATTGGTACAGAATTAAGGTTTGATGTGAATGATTGAATGATTGCATTCATTTGATTTTGACTTGTAATGACAGGCATTTCGACACCAGGTGGCGGCCCGTCTGTCAAATTTTAAAAGTCAATGAGGCCCCCGACCCAAAAAGTTTGCCCACCCCTGGCATAGCATTACCTCCTAACCAGTTACTGGGCCATAAGTAACTCCATATGTTAGGTCCTTAGTAGAGAACATTTCAGTGGAACATTTTTTACCAGAAAGGTTAATTCCCTAAAGTGATTTTTCTCAACTTTTTCTGTTGCTTATTTCTTCTTAGATCAAAGAGAATTTGAAGGAATGGTGGTTGGCCTATGTCTTGGCCTCATAATAATTCCAGCTATTACTATCACAATTTGTTCCTCAGTTCTGAAACGGTAATTATATTTTCATGATCCAGAAATATTTTAATTGCTTTGCATATTTTTATTCAAATTGTGTTAATTAGCAAACAAAAGCCATGGAAGTCAAAAGTGGTACAAAACTTTTTAAATCATGAACAAAAGAAAAATAAGGTTCTGCTCAGTCCTCCATGGACTCATCATTACCTTGTTGTCCAGCTCTACAAAAGTTAAGAATTAAAGTAACATTATTAACAGAATTGGAAGGGACCTTGGAGTTCTTCTAGACCAACCCCAATCCCCAAGCAGGAAACCCTATATTATTTTCAACAAATGGTTGCCCAATCCCTTCTTAAAAGTCTCTAGTGTTGGAACACCAACAACTTCTGAAGGCAAGCAGTTCCACTGGTTGATTGTTCTTACTCTCAGGAAGTTTTTCCTTAGTTTTAGGTTGTTTCTCTCTTTGTTCAGTTTCTATCTATTGCTTCTTGTTTTGCCTTCAGGTGCTTTGGAGAATAGCTTGACCCTCTCTTCTTTTTGGCAGGCAGCCCTTCAAATATTGGAACATTATTATCATGTCACCCCTAATTCTTCTTTTCACTAAACTACACATATCCAATTCAGGCAAACATTCTTCATATGTTTTAGCTTTCAGCCCCCTCCCCCCCCAATTATCTTTGTTGCTCCTTTCTGCATTCCAGGTGTGGCATTATAAATCGGTAGTATCACTTCTCGTCATCTTAATTCTACCCCTCTGTTAACTGGCATCTGGGAATAAGCACCCAGAGGGGTGTATACAGAAGAAAGTGCAATACAATGGGGAGGAAAAGGGCAGAGAGAATCCATTGCAAATGAACTGGTTCTAAAATCATGTAAAATCATTTTTCCCCCTTTTCTTCTTCCACTTCTGCATTTGCTTTGCAATTTCCCATTCAGAATGATGAGAAAAGCAGTAAGGATAAGTGCAAGCATACTTTTTCCTTAGTAGGGGCCTGCCCTGCTAGGACAATGGGGGCCTTTTGATCCAGCACATTTAAGCTTCTGTCACCTCAACACATTTCAGGAGTTCTTTTTGCACCCAGAGGGCTAGCAAAAATAAGGGCAAAGGCGATTATTGTGTTCCCACAAGAAAGCTTACAAAGCTACATCAAGTTCTTTACTAGCAGATTAGAATCTTGTTTGTCAGAAACCATGGAATTCAGAGTTTCCATAACCAGAAATGATAGTTTACTACTTGCAGCTTAAAAGAGAATGTAGACCAATAAAATGTAAAACTATTTTAACCCCTTGAATTATAAATGTTTTAATAAAACAGAAAATAATTGTCAAGGGTTTGATGATCAGGACACATTGGCTAGAACAGGGCAAATAGGAAAACCATTATGAGCAATTGAGTAGGATGTCATTTGCCAGTAAGAAAATGCTGTGTAAAAAAGAAAGAATCAAACAATAATTTAAAAATGAATGTTTGGGAATAAATATACTAATACATAAATCTCACAATCCTGACAGTTCTTAGCTCCCACAACTTTTGCTGTGAGCGTGTTATGGATTATGCAGGGGGAAAAATACCCTAGGTGCTTAAATAGTGTATTTCATGCAATTTTAGCTAGGAGTTACTTTTACAAACTGCACCAAATTGATATTTACAGCATGTAAATTGCACCTGCTGGTTGGTTTTTCTCAGATAAGCCCATTCTAAATGCTTTGGCCAAAAGGTCATTTCTGCCAGGTGGTCAGTTGTAGCTCCTGTTAACACTGAATTCATTGTGAAACTTGCAGGATTAGGTTTTTAAGAACTAAACATAATTTTCATGTTTCAACAAAATTTGGACTTTCAGATCAAGAAAATCATGCTGGCCACCTGTCCCAAATCCGAGAGATAGCAGTGCTATGCAAGTTGCAGAAAAAACTTTTCCAGTGGTATGATTCTTTTAAGCATTTTAGCATCATTTTAATACTGTGGACTTATGTTCCATTATTAAATAGTATAGCATAATTGTTTATGTATTGTCTTTCCACTGTTGTATTTGAAACAACAGTTGTATTCCACTGTTGTATTTGTTGGGTTTTTGCTGTCTGCACTCTCATCTTTTATGGGTCTAGAATAATTCTGAGCAGTTCAATGTGGAAAATTATTTTGCTATTTTTAAGAAAGCTCTGTTGAGTTAGTACTATAGCAGTGAAAGGTTTCTTATAAAAAAGATTAAACTGGACAAAGGAATAGCTGTCAGTTCCTAAGTAGGTCAACATAGCTAATGGGTATGTTGGCTAGGAATGTTGTGCCCTCCAGTCCACCACAACTGGAGGTTATTAGGTTGGACACCTTGCAGTGTCATTACCATGATTAATTAATCACAGTAAAAGTGATTTTTTCAATTTGTCTCTTATTAATTTCACTTTAGGAATTAATAACTTTAACTCTGATATTGCCATAAGAAAGTAATGCACAATACTTACTCGAGGTTAATTTAACTCTTATGTTCAATTAACCCAATGCTCTGAGCCTGCACAGGATATAATTACCCAAATGGACTGGTAAGGTTGGCTGGTTTGTGACTTAATATGTTGCTTGAATGGTGACAAGTTATTTTCTTTTCCACTTCATTGTATATACAGGCTCTCCTGAAACCCAGTTTACAACCATTGCTTCCTTCTGCACCACTGAACGAAGCCGATAAGCTTTATGTGATAACAGATGATTTGGAGGCATTTCCTCCAAGTCCAGCAACTGGGAGAGTTTTCACAGAATATTCTGAAGCAGTTGTAAGAGAAAAGGAAGGAACACTTCCCAAGCCTAACAGAGTAAACGCCAGCGAGAAGGCAAAGGCAGGTCTTCACCTTGATTATGTCGGTATGGAATTCAGTCACAAAGCCATGCAGAAGCTTTCAGAGAATCTGCCTACGAAAACGGTCCACCTCTAACAGGAGTTGTCCAAAAGCTCAGGAAGCAAAGAAGAATCACCAGCACCTTGCTGTTCTTGAGGCGATGATGCTTCAGGCAGTAAACCAATCCTCAGAAAGTATATTGAAATATGAGCAAAAGCCTCTTAACGGTAGATGGAGGAAATGTAGTTAGATTTCATATTGGCATAAGTAGCAATATTTTGATAGATTCTAATCAATCTTATTGAAATTATTTTGTTACATTTCATATATCAATTATAATTACAAATACAGCTGAGTTTAAGCTCCACCATACAATTATATTAATTCTACCATGGGAATTTAATTATTTTAAGCCTAATTATTTTTACTTGGTAATTCAGCACTGTATTTCTAGACGGATGTTGTGAGCTATTGAAGCCCGTCCCTACAATTTAAAGGCATTGGCACCATCTTGTTCAATTCTTTGCAGATATTTTTTTCTAATGTACATTATGCCCAATGTTTTTCACAATTCAGTTCTATTTGTAGCAAAATACATATTTTCAAATTATGCTATTCAAGTTGTCAAAGCTTGAAGTTTCTTCAATTAACATTAGTCTGAAATCAAAAGGCCACATTGCTTCCGATCCCTGTATTACCTTATATATGTTAACATATATATCAAATGCTAACATATATCAAATATCTATATTAATATTTTTGCAATGAACCATACTGTCATTTTTAGCTAAGCTTACCAATTGTTTGTTCCTGAAGCTCTCTGGATACAAGTAAAGTCCCTTAGAAGTTAATATTTACCAATCAAGAGTTCATGCTATTTGGAAATGGCTTGATAGAATGTGTGTTAAGGCAGTGGAAATTAAAACAAGTACAGTATCTTTCATGCGTTCCAGTTTAACTCCCCTCCTCTCCATTGTGTTATGATTTTATCTTTGATAGCACTGTGGAATAAGTTACTTCTAAATTATTTACATTGCTAGAAATCTTGGAAATATAAGGTAAATCCCCAGCTTGTTTAATTGTTCTAACATGTTTCAAAATCCTATAAGGATCTAAAGCAGGGGTATCAAACTCACGTCATCACATGACGTATCCGGACTTTTCCCCTTCTCTAAACCAACGGGGGTGCTGCCAACATGACACATCCAGCCCACGGGCCACAAGTTTGACACCCCTTATCGAAAACTATCTTCTATTCCCACTGCCTTGTCAGCAACATTTAGCAAAGCTAGCTTCTTTGGCACCTGTGCAGATAGCTCTTTCCACATTTACACAAGATGGCATGGCAGACAACAGGGTCCTCATAACCTCCCATTGTACAGTCTTTGTATTTCCAAATCTGTCATTTCTGTATTTGACATTAAAGAGATTATTCTGCTACCTTGGCCTACACATTTGTGGTCATAATGCATGAGCAGAAAGATAGGCTGTGTCCTTGCTAACATTTTTGTGAAAAATTTAAAGAAGTAAATTCAACTTAAGAACTTTTGTTTTAAATTGACAGTATTATACAAGACACTGAAATACATTTGTACACTTTGGAGTTTTTTTTTTTACAATTTTTCCCAGAATTCTGTAAGGTAGTCTGTGCAGTCTTTCTCTTCCTCTTCTTTGCTCTACATCTTCCTGTTTCCACAAATCTACAGGAGGAATCTCAGCCACCAAGGAAAAAATGTAGAAGAAAAAAAAAATCATGCAAACACTGGCTACAGCATCAATTTGGTGAAATATTTTGTATAAGGAAATGTTTAAGTATTCCTGTGGAACTACACAGAAACATAACAGAAAGTGTCTCAATGATCTGATGCAATTTTAACAGGATTTTATTGTAGACTCACACAACCTTAACCTATTCAGCTACTACATTAACTAATTTTAAACTGATCCCAATCAAAGACTCACTAGGCCAATTGTAACCATTTCAGCCTCTGCTTGTAAATTAAAGTAATACCATCTTTGGCAATATATGAAAAAAACTTGGAACATAAAGTACTGACAATTACTTTATACTGAAAAGTTGTAAAATTTTAATACGTATCTCCTCTGCGCTCCATCTTTTTTACTTTGCTATGTACCAATGCAAACCAAAGTATCCACATAACAAAATGTAGCTATTGTAGAAAATGATCATCAACGTCCAGGCATTATTTTAAAAAGCAGATCAAAACTACTTCCCTCTAAAATACTAAAATTTATTAGTGATGGTACCAAAGATAGCAAGTATACAATCTTTGCTCTATGCTACTTATACATCATAAATATGACAGCTGCTGTTCCAAGACACAATCTTTCAGTCCTTCAAGAAGCATGAGGTTTGTCATTGCTTTATCAGAATAAGCTGTTTGCGAGCCAACTTCATGTGGCATAAACATCACAAAATTACTGTCCATACTTTACATGGTAAAGCATTCACTAAAGGTTTTTTGAAGAAAAACTTTAGACTGTAACAAAACAAATCTCACCCAACAATGAGCTACTAAAGCAGTGTCACAATCTATGGGCTCTAATCTTATAGCTTTCATTTTATCATACTCACCTATCTATCCGTAAACAGAAATATTGAGAACACAAACTGAAAGCTATATGACTATTTGGCTTTTCATGCCTCTTTTTAATCCTATAAGGCCATATGATTGTATTACATTGTATTCAAATAGTTCTTGATTTCACAACCCTTTGCTTTAAATTTTAAAAGGCTGCAATGAGGCCAGAATTAGTTGTGCTCATATGCTTTTTTCTTTCAGATTTTTATCAAACAGAACAGAAATCTTAATTATTTCTTTACTTGTGATAGAATGTATAGAAATAACTCTTACATTTAGCCCATAAGATGCATGCTTTTAAAGGGAGCTTTCTATGTTCCAGTCCTGCCGAGAGGTAAATTATTTTTATTTAGCACTATTCAATTCCCTGGTTCAGTATATGATCTGAAAAATGTATAGATTAACTGGATTATTTGCTGGATCATGCTCAACTTTTTATGGTCCCTAAACAGCAATTAGATTAACTAGGATTTTTTTTTAACTTGAAATCAAGAGATCTTCAAATTATTTCAAATAACTAATGGATAATATGACTGACATCTTTCAAATGCTTGCCTACTGGTGTGATAGAATCATCAAAAAGAGCAACTCATAAACAGATAATTAAAAAAACCTCTACGTTACTAGAAATCACTATTCTCTGTGTCAAAGGCACTAAAGCATCAGCTTGTGCTCTACATCTCCATTAAAAAGTAAAAAAAAAATCATCTTTCTGTTTCTGTTCTATTTGCAAGTGACTAGGCACCCTGTAATACAACTCAAGACAAAGTCAGTTGTTTGCAATTACTATATAGATGTGCTTATAACTGGAAGAATGGAACTCTAGTATAAACATGGATCTTCTTTTCAGAATCCGAACATTAGCATGCATTGATCAGCTATAGTTAAGAGAAGAATTTTAGACTTACGTTGTAAATTATGTTTTTAAAAATATAAAAAGAAAGTCACAAATAACAGAGGAAAGAATCTTCACTTGCCTTTGTGGGCATAACACAACTGTAAAACTGTGTTAGGTTAAAACTTTTCATCACTTGTAATTTACAACATCAAGGGAAATATGTTTATTTCTGCACCATTTTCAAGCACATCATCAAAACATATCACATGGAGTTTAGTTTTTAAACCATAAGAAAAACAAAAATTATCAATCTACAAATATTTTAACAACTTCCAAATGCATCCCTTGGTAGCTTTTCAGGATAGTACATTGCAATCTCCTAGTATTTTATTATCAATGAAATACATTTATTTTGGAAGATTTGACCAGTGCTTTTGTCACAGCATATCCTGTTGGTAGTCCTGCTTCTTGTCAGTCCTCAAGGTGACCAAACAACCAAGACTGGAATAGCTGCAAGCACAATTTGATAGGTCCAGTTGATTGCTTAATAATGTTGTATCCTTTTTGGATGTATTTTGGAGATGAGACAAAAGGTTTTGTATTTCTTTTGCAAAATGGGTCAAATGTCCCATTCAACATTCTACACATCTTCAGTTTTAACTGAGATTGTTTCTTCATTTGGCTGGCAGTTCCCATTCTGTTGTTCAATTTCTGCTGCAATTGTTGTCTCCTCTCCTTCTGTTGCTTTATTGATTTCAGAATTTTTATTCTCTTTACTGAGATCTTTATCCTTTGTAAACAAAGAAAAATATTTAAAAGGCAAGAAATAAAAAATACACAACATATTTATCTATGATTTTTGATGGCATGCATGACCGAAAACCTTCACCAAAATAAAGGATTATGTCTCCTCTTTCTATCTACCAATTTTCTACCAGCCTATAGAGAAAGGGTTTGAGAAATCTTTCCATTTATGTGCTAAGGGGTGCAGCTTTCTCTTCCAGAAATGGAGTTAACTCAATCCTATCTGGTTGCTGGCTGCCATTAAAGGGGATTTTGGGAACTTGCCTGTCTATTCATTACAACAGATTGCTTACAATTGTTATTTTCTGTATGTCCTTCTTGTAGAAATACTACTCAAGGTAGCTTTACAAAATACAGATATTATTTAGTTTATTATTAACCTCACAATAGTGTTAGAAAATATGCTAAACTGATTAACTTCACTTTCTGCAATTAAGAACAGTTGTCTTTCCTTCCTGTTGGAAACAACATTCTACTGAGTGAATCTTCCTAAGAACGCCCCAAAAGAGTAAAATTCAACACTGCAAATTTTGTCCTTCCATATTAAACTATTTGTTTTTAAAAAAGGAATATGATATTTATGACTTCTTGTTCTTATCTGAAATTACTGAGTTATTTCAAAGAGAATTTTTCAGTAATTGAATAAAATTTAGGAGGTATCCAAAGAACCAATGAAAGACAGCAGGCACTAAAGTCTTCCTAAAATATTCTACAATGATTGTATCGGCTTGATCAAAATAAGCTTACCTTCACAACTGAGGTTTTATCTGATTTCTCTTTGACTTCTTTGTCTTTACTACTCTTTCGCTTTGAGGTAGACCTCTCCCTCTCTCTTCTTCGATCATTACTTACATCTCTCTCCTTCTCTGTCTTTTTGTCTTTCTTGCTTCTGTTTTGGAACAAATATTATACACACTGATGTAATTAGGATGGTTCATTTCATGCTTACAGAATTCATTAAAGAACAATTAGCAAAGTCACACATCCTCAAACAATACTGAATTCATGACAAGTAATATTGGAACAAGGTCATAGTACTTAATATATTTAATGATAGGAAACAAAATTTTTATTTTAGCTGTTTCTTCTAAATACTTACCAGTAAAATATGGGTAAGCTAATTTTAGATTTTAGTCAAGATATCTGGATAAAAATAAATAATCAACTATTCTCAAAATTGGCACATAAAGAACCTCCCAGTTAAGACTAAATAAATATTTATATTAAATAATTTATGTTACTCAACAAAAAATATCTACAATAGAAAAATATTTTACATGTTAAATTTAGCATTTTTAAAAAAAGTAGCTTAGTTATTTTCTGAATATTTAAATCATCTTAAAGTTTGTTTATTTATTGATTGATTGATCTAGAAGATTTGTATGGCTGGCCATCTTAAACAACTATGGGCAGCTTACAACAGCAGTAAAAAACAGTGTATCCATCAAACGAAAAAATCCTGCACCTTATTAATCCTTTTAGGATGCACTGCAGCAAGCTCCAATAGCGACAATTAGGCTAAAGGCTGCCTTAAGCCAAGTTCAAACATGTTTCCTCTGCAGTCTTTAAATAACTGTTTTATCACCGCCTTTTTTTCTAAGGTGTTTTTTTCAACTTCCAGTCAGGCAACTGCTACTAAAAATTATTTTCAAAATGAATTCTCCATTTCAAAGGAAAAAAAAATATTGAAGGTATTATTAATCAAAGAAGAAAAGCCAAATATATGTTTCCTGTTTCTTCTTTGTTCGGCGTTTCTTTTTGCATTAATCTACTTGCTGTTAATGAGAGGCATGTACTGCAGAAGAGCCTGAACAATACAAAAGCTCTGCATGATAAATCAATGCACTTACCTCCTTGGAGATGGAGACCGAGATGATTTCCTTTTTGTGACTTTGGATGATCTGGGAGACTTTGAAGGACTTCGGCTCTTCCTCTTCCTTCGATCTCTGTAAGATCCATTAATCAAAAATTGGAAGTCCACCGGGTATAACTAATTTAATTAAGCTCAGGTTGCTCTATCATGCAGGTCCTAAATTGCAGTCAATGTCACCTATAAAATTATCTCAGTGCACATTTTGATTGAAAAACAAGAAGTTGCTGTTTTTATCCGTACCAGAGAAAAATATAAGCTTCTGGTGCTCATTCACACCTTCAAAACCATAATTTGGCATAATTAGCCCTGTTCATTACAATCCATACAAAATGCATTAAAGCCTAACACAAGGCCAGCTGATTTAAAAGAAACCTGATATGGTATTTAATGAAAATGTGTGTGTGTGTGTGTGTGTGTGTTATATATATATATATATATATATATA